AACTGCCACCCAGGGGCGTCGGGGGGGAACCCCAGGAAGACGCAGGGAGAAGCGCGAGGGGACAGTTTGTCCGCAGACAGGTCGCGAACAAACGCCCGAGATCCCAAGACCCGGAACGCCGACGCATCGCCAACCTTCCCCGTCAACAGCAGGGCTGGGGAGGTCTCCGGGCTGGAGACCCTGGGGTGAAGATTGATCTGGTGCGCCGCGTACCTGACCGCAAACGGCCACAGAAAATGGGGAGCTGCCGCATGCATCATGGACGTACGAGCGACGTCCATGACCATGCCCATGCGGCGCTCTGCAATCCCATTCTGCTGCGGTGAGTCCGGAAGCGTGAAGGTCTGACGGATGCCTCGCGCACGACAGTAGGCACGCAGAAGGCCAGAGGAGAACTCTCCGCCTCTGTCCGAGTGCAGACGCAAAACAGGGAGGTCAGAGCCAAAGCTCTGCCTAAGCTGGAGACGAGCCGCGCGGATCCAGTCGATCAGCACCGCAGTGACATCACCCTTGCTGCGCAAGGGGAAGACTGTGGTGTATCGCGAGTAGTCGTCAACAACAAGCAGGAAGTAGCGCTCCTGACCCTGTCCACGGACGCGGGCTGGGCCCCACACGTCCATGTGAAGCGTCTGCAACGGGGCCTCTGTCGGAGGAAACTGGGAGGAGTGAGGGGCAGCACGCTGGCGCCGCTCAACACAGGGGACACAGGCAGGGCCAGGGCCCTGAGGAAGGGGAGGGAGGGACCGGGGAAGACCAGACACTAGAAGACGGGAGGCCATACCTCTGAGCCGAAGCAGAGAGGGGTGGCCAAGGCGGTGGTGCCAGAGGAGGGTCTCGTGCGACAGACGGCGACACGAACAGGGGGCAGACTCAGGACCAGACCTGGACGCTGAAGCAAACACCTGACCAAAAGAAGGGACCCTACCAGACCCAGCACCTGGAGGAGAAGCAGTGGTCATTGTGTACAGGCTCGACCCTGGCCGACGTGTAAACGTAGCCAGGTGGCGACCTGTGCTAGCCTCCGTGCAGTGTGTCACCCGCTGACGAGCAGGAGTGAACTGGTGGACACCCGCATCCTGTAGGTCAGCACCACTCACTAGGTTCGTCGAGAACGAGGGGAGGTAGAGACCAGACAGGGTGCCAGAGGGGGCCGCCGGACACGGGAGGACAGTGGAGAAGCGAGACAGGACAGGCCCCCCAGAGGGGTCAGCTAGGGACACCGCAACCGGCCGACTCAGCGGCGTGAGAGTGGTGCGGTCCCGAAAGAAGGAGCGAGAGGCCCCAGAGTCTAGGGTGAAGGTGTGAGAGGCCGAAGCCGACACAGTACCTGAGAGGGCAGACTCACCAGTACCTGAGCGTACAGGCGCAGTGGCACCTAGCGCAGCAGCCTTACAGGCACCTAGAGCAGCAGTACCAATGCCCGGGTCGGGCGGGAAACACCGGTAACAGTCATCCTCATCACTACCAGTCACAGCATACATAGCAGTAAGGATAGCATCAAAGTCAAGATCATAAATAGCTACACCAGCCCTAGACAGCTCTCCCCAGCGGGGGATCTCAGCGGCCTCCGGAAACTGCTGACGCCAGGCGTCGGTCAGGCGGCCAAAGCAGCGGCGGGCGGTGTGGGTGCCTCCACACTTCTCACCCGCGCGGTCGCCGATGCGAAGAACGTAGGGGCAGGGACCAAACGCCCCACCACGCTGACGCTGCAAGTACCACTCACGGAGCTGCTGAGGGGCGGGGATGGTGCGAGAGCGCTGCTGCTGCTGTGGCTGCTGCTGCTGCTGCTGCTGGCGCTGACCACCCCCAGTGCTGCTCCGCTGGGACGAGCCACTCCGACCCCCGCCTCCACCGCCACCCCCGCCTCCACCGCCACCGCCGCCTCCACCGCCACCGCCCCCACCGGCACCCTCGCCCCCGCCGCTCCCACCGCCTCCTCCGCTACCACCTCCGCCGCCACCTCCGCCTCCACCGCCGCCACCAGTACCTCCACTCCCACCACCACCTCCACTGCCACCCCCACTCCCCCCGCCGGCCCCACCTCCTCCGCCACTGCCCCCGCTAGCTCCACCCGCTCCCTTGCCCCCCTTGCCCTTGCCAGAGCGGCGCCTACCGCTGGGGGCAGACGCCGCACCGACCGACTCAAAACCAGCGAGGTCGGCCGCAGCAGCAGAGGCGACAGAGGGCAGCAGGGGGGAAGGAGAACACCCCTCAAAGATGGGGGTGCGAGGGTCACCACGGGAGGCCCCTACAGCGACTATGCTCTTCTCAGCCGCGAGCAGGGACTCCTCAAGGAGGTCGACAGTGAGGGTGGTGGGACAGACAGAGAGAAACTAGTCCCTAACGACACGAAGGGACTCAGGGAGACGGGTGACTAGAAAGTAGAGAGTGATGTACATGGGAGGAGGGTTTGCGGCGCGGAACTCAGCAGGAAGCGCAGCGCGGTAGCGAGTGTCACTAGCGCGGAGGTGGGTAACGAGGTCAGCGACAGTGGGAAAGGCAGCGAGGTTAGGGAAGAGAAACGGTAGCATGAGGCGGCTCAGCGTAGCGAAGGAAGGGGAGGAGTAGCGCGCAACTACAGCGTCGTACAAGGCCTGAGCGGTATTGCACTGACTAAAGTGGGCACGCTCGGAGGAAGGGAGGTGGCGACGCACAGCAAGACGTGCAGCAGCATCGCGTGTCGCCCACTTGGAGCGAACGGCGGGGTCAGCATCATCAGGAGGGGCAGGGACAGCGCCAGAGACAAAGTCTAAGAGTGAAACCTCATCGATCGCATCGCACAGTAAGTACAGCTGCAGGTCCTCAATCCAGACTGCAAAGTTAATGGCGCGACCCTCAGCGTCAAAGGCGAGGACAGTGGGGGTGGCCATTGTAGCAGCTGACAGTCTCACCGGGCAGGAAGAGTCGGGTAGGTCAGCGGCACAGCAACACGGCCCAGGAGCAGCAGCAGCCCCACAGGAGCAGGAGCGCGGCTCCTCTGGCGGCTCGGGCGGCTCGGGCGGCTCGGGCGGCTCAGGCGGCTCGGGCGGCTCGGGCGGCTCGGGCGGCTCGGGCGGCTCGGGCGGCGTGGGCGGCTCGGGCGGCTCGGGCGGCGTGGGCGTCTCGCGGGCGGCACGTAGGCGGTAGCACGGGCGGGTACACGGGCGGCTGCACGGTCTGGTCGTCGGGCGGCGCTAGGGCGGCGCGTGGGCGGCGGTCTGGGCAGCGCGACGGGCGGCGCGTTGGGCAGCGCAACGGGCGGCGCTAGGGCGGGCAGCGGGCAGCGCGACGGGCGGCGCTAGAGCGCCTGCACGGGCAGCGCGACGGGCGGCGCTAGGGCGGCTGCACGGGCAGCGCGACGGGCGGCGCTCACGGGCGGCGCTCACGGGCGGCGCTCACGGGCGGCGGCGCACGGGCGGCAGCGCACGGGCAGGCCGCGGGCGGCTAACGGGCGCTAGGGCGGGGCGGCGCTAGAGCGGCTGCACGGGCAGCGCGACGGGCTGCGCTAGGGCGGCTGCACGGGCAGCGCGACGGGCGGCGCTAGGGCGGCTGCATGGGCAGCGCGACGGGCTGCGCACACGGGCGGCGCTCACGGGCGGCGGCGCACGGGCAGCAGCGCACGGGCAGGCCGCGGGCGGTTAACGGGCGCAAGGGCGGGCGCCGGGCGCTAGGGCGCTAGGGCTGGCGCTAGGGCGGGCGCTAGGGCGGGCGCTAGGGCGGGCGCTAGGGAAGGCGCTAGGGCACTACGGCGCTAGGGCAGGAAAAAAAAAAATTCTAAGTGGTGGGCCCTAAGCACAGTTCCCACAGGGGAACCTGCTCTGATTCCATGAGAAGATGTGAACGAGAGAATGAGTGAACTATGAAATGAAGTGAGTACAAATATGAAACCCTAATTGGGTTGTACCCCCTATGGGATACCCCACTATAGCCTACAGAAAAGAGTAAGCTATAATGTTCTGACATAGATTATACCTATCTTTTGTAACAATTATCCATAAATAGCCCCTCCTCTGGCATTGGTGTCCACTTCTCATGAAAGTAGACATGGCAATGGTGTCATAATGGTGGGGCGTTTTGCCCGAGAGGAGTTGTGATGTCGCTGTAATGATTACGCCGGCAGTCACTTTTAGGGTACGCTTTGGGGTGTGAAACACTGTTCGAATTCCCGCCTAGTTTTCACGCGAGGGCGGGAAACTCAAGTCATCGCAGGGTTTTCGTTCGCGCTGGCGGGAATTCAACCTCATCGCACGGGGCTCGCAACAGTCGCATGGAGTTGTAGACCCTTTCCCGCCCATTTTCTCCCACCGTGGGAGAAATTTTACAGTCGGGGTCACCCTGCTATCGAACAGGACCTTAGTCATATCTTCGTTATTCATTATTCTGAGCACTCCCTTTTACAACTCATAACATTTTTTGTCGCTCGGACAGCTCGGCATGGGACTACACTGTCCCTGTGCGTCATTCCTTGTGCCTCGCGCCATCGAAAATCATGTTACGCGTCGAGTTTCACCGCTCCAATCCGCGAAGCGGAAACAACAGGCGAGACAGATACACCTGCCTTGTTAGGGCGTATCCAGGTTCAGGTCATGAGCACTTTTCCGGGCATGCGCAAATTGCGGATGACCCAAACTGCACATAACACCACTTCGCGGCCTTCGTGCGTGAGCGACCCGTAAACTGGCGCGCACGTTTCCCCGCCCAGAAAGCGACTCCCGTCAACCGTCGCACCCAATCGGGCCGGGCCAAACCACCACACACGAAACACTCCTACCGTCCCACGCGACACTCAACCCACTCACCACACCGTCAAAATTCCCGGCGGGAAAAGTCACATTCAGATCTGCGCGGTTCCACAACGCCACCCAACCACCAAACTTGGCTACAATTTCGCACTCCTTTGGTTTCCGAGGCCCTAAGGTTACTCCACAAAGCATAGATCGCATCCAGAACTTCATACAAGCCCACCAAAACTCTCTCTACTCTCCCGCAACCTATCCCCAGCTCACGTCCATAGTAGAGCAATGCCCCCACGCCGGAGCACGCGCGGCAAGGGGAAAGATAGATTTAGCGACGATGAGCCTATGGAGGACCCACCGTATGTCGCATGGATGAAAGAGCAGAAGAAGCAGGGGAAGCCGTCCCCGTCAATCAAGCATATGGCAAAGGCCAAGCGTGACTCCGCCGGCGCATCCACTAGCGGAGGTGCACGGCGTGACTACGACGATGGCGCCGACACTGACGTCAGCGACGACGATCTCGAAGAGATCGTCTCGGAATCAGACAGCGAAGCCGATTCCGACAACGACAAGGATGGGAGCGACGACGACGGCCAGGATGAGGACGGCGGCGAAGAGGCAAGCGGCGACGAACGCAGCACGCGCGCGTCGAAGAAGGACAAGCGCCCGCCTGCACCGCGCAATAAGCGGGTGTGGTCGGACGCCGAGCTGGCCGTCCTTGCGGCCGCACGGTGGAACACAAAGGACGATTTGAAAGCGATGCAGGGCAAGCAAGGGAGTCAGTACTGGATGAAACTGCGTGCACACATCGTCGAAGGGGACGCCTCGTGGAACCGCGATGAGGGGCAGATGTCGAACGTGTGGAAACGCTTGGAGAAAAAGTACCTAAAAACGAAACGTGGTGAAGGGCAGAGCGGCGAGAAAGCAATCAAGAAAAAGCCGTGGTGGGAGTACGTGTATAATCTCAAGAAGCACTCGGCCAAGGCGAAGGCTCACGCACTGGACGGAGGAGGCGCCGCCACCGTGGACGTCCCTGCATACGCCCCGGTGCCCGGAACCACCGAGCGTGAGACGTCGGGCCCATCGACTCTGGAACTCCAACGCGGTGGCCGTCGGGCAAAGAGAACGCCAGGTTAGTGTTGGGTTGGAAAGGCAGTGTTCGTGGTCTAATGCCTAAGTATTACCGTGAGTCACTGCAATTGACCACTCTTGCATTATACTTCTCAACAAATACATGCAATCAAATAGCAACAAAGCCGCCTTATTACCAACTATGCCTACACCCTCCCCTACAGACGCTGGTGACACTCCGCCACCCAAACGAAGGCGGGTATACGAGACCGCCACTATGGTAGCAGCAAAGCTGGTGAGCGATGCCATCAACTCCACCAACGTGAACGTGGTGCGCCGGCTTCAAGACTCCACTCAGACGCTTGTCGCCGTCATGAACATGCGGCCCTTCAGGCTGGCGTGCGATTGCAGATGGCCACACCGCACGCATAACAGGCTGCGCCTCAGACGACGCCGGACCTCGCGCCACCTGTCGATGCTACCGACGCCAACATGGCGTTCACGGAGGAGGTGGCGGAGCAGCCCGAGCCTTAGCGCGTTGACCTCGGCAGACGGTGACGCCTGAGGTAAGCCCGATGGATGTGCTTGCCAAAGTGGTGTCGGCGCGCGCGCAGATCGGCAAGTGTTGGGTTGTCTAGGCTCGGCCAGTGATAACGATCCATGCCGCTCTTAGTCCACCAGCCGTTCGGGAGCCCTGCCCATATGTAGCGTCGGGGGTTGTGCGTTTTCATCCTTGGAGTACTGACGGTCTGCAACATGTTGTGCAGGATGATGATGCAGGCCGTTCCTGCACACACGCGCCAGAGCTTGCTCTCGTGCCTGCGCGAGAAGAGCCTCCAACGCCCCTTCAGTGCGCCGATCGTGCGCTCAACGACCATCCTGGTCGCGGACTGGACGTAGTTGTACGTCTGCTCCCACTTCTTCATAAGGCGTCGACGTGGTGCGTGCAGGGGGGTGAGCATGTAGGACCTCAATGGGTATGCGGCGTCACCCACTAACTGATAGGGGGCGATTTCTCCACTCTCTAGCCTGCCATGCAGATCTGATGTAGAGAAAACACCTTGATCATGCATTGAGCCCGGATTGCCAACCGTGTAGTCCCAAATGACTCCCTTTGAATCACACGTGACCTGAAGTTGCACACTGTATACCGACTTCCTGTTGTAGTAGTCCCCACGGTGTGCCTCCATGCCGCGAATCTCAACATGTGTACCGTCAATCGCGCCAATCACGTTGGGGACTCCTTTGATGGCCTTGAAGTCCAGCGCCATCTCCTCCCGCACTTCTTCAGGAGGGAACTGCTCCCAGTCCCGCTTGAACTTGCGGGGAAACCAGACCCATAAGGCATCCACAAGGCGGTGGATGAGGCCCCTTGTCAGCCCAAACATTAGGCTCATGTCGTGGTAGGTCATGGCACTGGGAAAGTATTTGATCGGGATAAGACATCAGAGAGATAGTGGGACCTCGTTCACCTCCACAAAGCGCGACATTGGATGAGCCATTTTGTCAGCGATGAGGTCGAGTACTTCCCGCGTGATGCGGAAAGTGTCTTCAAACTCCTCGTCAAACATGGCGCGTATCTCCTCGACCCAATAGGCCACCCGTTCCTGGCGCTTGCGCTTCCGACTTTCGCGGCGGGCGGTTTCACGTCGCCCGTGCTCCCCATCCTCTGCCTGAGCCATATGGAGGATATTGGTTAACCACTCCAATGCGGCTAGAGATACTACACGCTACCAGGAGGTGAGGAGGTGCTCATGCCATAGGTGTAAGGCCACACACAGGATGAGAACCTGTGCGCTGACCATGGTTTATGGCCGCGCTGTAAAAGCCGAGAGGACGCGCTTAACGCATTAAGAGCCGTTGGCGCTCGCATTCTGTTCATTACTGGATCGCGCAGTTGCTGGGAGCGCGTTTGTTGTGGGCGTCTTGGCGTGGAGCGGCTGGTTTCTTGTATATGGGGATCCTTGGCGTAGCGCTCAAACTATGTGGAGTCTGTGTTGTGGCTCTGTAAAAAGTGTCACACAATTGTTACGGGGTTTTTTTACAAGTTTGGGAGGCGCAAATTTGACATTGACGGGCGTGAGTCAACTGAAGACGGTCGTCTACAGAGTGGTACTGAACATGGGGTCGCAGTGCATTATGATTGGTCGGGGGAACATTTTGACTGACGGTCGCATGCAGTTGGATGGATGACCCGAAGTTCGGACCGCGCGCGCCTCGACGCCCCACTTTGGGTCATGCGCTAATTGCGGATGCCCCAAACAGTAGAATGAACAGTGCTCATGACTGGAACCAAAGATACGCCCTTACACCGCTCTCGCAGCCGAAAGACGAGAACCATCACATATTCAGGGATGACTGTTGGCCCATGCACCAACCAACTTCTGCATTACCACAGCAACACCTGGAACGCCCAGTCCTTTCGCCACTCCCTGTCGCCGCCTCCACGGCTCCATCCACAGCGCCGCTCCCGGTGATCCTTTCATAGGCGAAAGCTTGCGACGTCGCATTTCTCTTCGCCGCGGCTCCTCGCGAACGGCGCCGTGCGGCGATGTTTACTACGGAAACCAGCGACGGGTCGATTCCTAGTACCGGGCTCGCGTGCGTGTTCGACGCGCATGCGCTTCGATGGCGGCACTTGAAGGTCGCCCTCGCAGGCCCTGGCAGCCACACCGACCCCGACGCCACCACCCGCCGCATCCGCCGGTGGATCGAGCCGTGCGGCCCGTCGCGCCCGCGACTGCGGTCCGCGGACGAGCTGCTGTGCCCGGCGACGGACGAGGAGACGCGCGGCGTGGAAACGATCGGAGCAGCCGAGCATTCCGTTGTGAGAAGCCGCCGGGACGCTCACTCCTCCCACTCGTCTGAAATCACCAGAGCACGGGCAGCAGCAGCACCGGCAGCTCCAGCACCGGCAGCAGCAGCAGCGGTAGCAGCAGCAGCGGCAGTAGCAGCAGCGGCGGCTGAAAGAGAGAGGCGGCGGCGTGCGGGTCCGTTTCTGGGCGACGAGTTGATGGGCGTGGAGCAGCTGATGGACGCGCTGCTGGGCACCATGAAGGAGTGGCATGACACATGCTTCCCGCGCCCTCGCCGCCCCGACCACGTGTACTACGACCCGTTCCCCTTCCCAGTCCTAGAGGACGAGATGGAGGTCAAACCCCTCTGGGACGCCCCGGTGGGGATCCATACGCGTTTAGAGCCGCTGCTGCTGTCGCAGGACCCGAAGCGCGTGACGGCCCTTCGCATGCTCGCCTGTAACAACTGCGAGTGGGACCTTGGGAAGCTGCTGCCAGTGGGGCGCTCGTGCGTGAATCTGCAGTCGCTCTCCGTTGGAGCGCTGCCAGATCTCGACTTCCATGGCCACAGCTGTTTGTATGACGAGATCTTGACGCAGCCCACGGTCTGGATTTGGCCGGAGGGTGCTCAGGTGGAACAGATGAATCAGCTTATAACGGGTTGCCCACACCTCCGCTCACTACACTTCCACCTCAATACCAACGAATACTTCACCATAAGGGAAGAGGTCTTTCCCCTCCTCTCCCGTCTCGAACACCTCTCCCTCCCTCTCGCCGACCTCCCACCTAACCTCCTTCCCCACCTCTCCTCCCTCCGCTCCCTCCGTCTCTCCCTCTCCGCGCCCCAGCACCCCCTCCTCCTCTCCGGTCGCCCCTTCCACTCTCTCCCCCTCCTCTCCCTCCTCCACCTCTCCCTCCTCTCTCCCACCTCACTCCTTTCCGAGCCTCTCTCACCGGACCTGTTTGCGGGGCTTGGGCCGAGCCTGCGGTCCTTGACTTTCCTGGTGTATGCGAAGCCGAAAGGAGCGGGCGGGGGAGGGGATGGTGGGGAAGGGGGGATGGGGAGGAGTGAGGACGAGGAGGAGGGCGGATGGGTGGGGGATGAGTGGGCGAGGGAGGACGAGGTGGTGGGGTGGTTGCCTGCGTCGCTCTGGTCGCTCACACGCCTGCAGCACCTGAGCACCAACGTGGGAGGCGCGTGGGACTGCACTGGACTCAACACCCTCTTCCCACCCCACGCCTCGCACTCCATCCCCTCCTCTTCCTGTTCCTGCTGCTGTTGCTGTTGCTCCTCCTCCTCCTCCTACGACCCCGACCCTTCCTCACACCAGCACGAGCACCACCACCATCAGTGCCTCTCTTCCTTCCCTAGCCTCACCTCTCTCTCCCTCCTCTCTCACCGCACCTTCCCTCCCTGCCTCTCCTCCCTCTCCTCCCTCACTCTCCTCTCCATACCCCTCGCCTCCCCTCTCCTTTCCCCCGGTTCTCTCACTCTCTTCTCCCACTGGCCCCGCTTGTCCCATCTCCACGTGAATGGTGAGGGGCCTGCCGAACCAGTCTTCTACCGCACCAAGCCTGGTCCCACCGAACCTGCAACTAGTCTTACGGAACCTCCCTCTTACCCCGAATCGGCTCCTTCCTCCGGCTCCCTCCGCCACCTTACTCTCACGGGGACAGCTGGCGTCATCCCATTGGCTGTGTGGGGGCGCCTGTGCCCGCAGCTGCTCTCGCTCAAGATCCAGGGCTCGCCCCACGTGGCTGTGCGGGGGTGGGGGGAGCAGCTGGCGGAGGGTTCTGGGGAGATGGGCGCGCCGCATGGCGCATGTGGTGAGGGGGAGGGCGCATGTGGCGAGGGGGAGGGCGCATGCGGTGAGGGGGAGGGCGCATGCGGTGAGGGGGAGGGCGCATGCGGTGAGGGGGAGGGCGCATGCGGTGAGGGGGAGGGCGCATGCGGTGAGGGGGAGGGCGCATGTGGTGAGGGGGAGGGCGCATGTGGTGAGGGGGAGGGCGCATGTGGTGAGGGGGAGGGCGCATGCGGTGCAGCAGAGAAGGCAGCTCGGTGCCTCTTCCCTTCCCTCGAGGAGCTTGTGCTGCGCAACGTGACCAGCCATGCATCGCAGCATACAGGGAGAGAGCAGACAGGCCCACAGCAGCAGCAGCAGCAGCAGCAGCAGCAGCAGCAGCAGCAGCAGCAGCAGCAGCAGCAGCAGCAGCAGCAGCAGCAGCAGCAGCAGCAGCAGCAGCAGCAGCAGCAGCAGCAGCAGCAGCAGAGGAGGAGGAGGCAGCAGCAGCATAGTCTTGAATTGATGGGCGTGCTGCCGCGCCTCACCCACCTGGCAATCGACCACACCCACTCGCTTTCAGACCCCCCCACCCCAACGCACGCCCCCACCATCCTCCCGCCCCTCCTCCCCAACCTCACCTTCCTCCGCATCCACTCCCCCCCACCCGACCCCCTCCCCGTGCTGCCGCACCTGCGCACGCTGATAGTGGGGTCGTACCCTCACTCCTCGCGCTTCCTCTCCTCGCTCTCCCTCTTCCCCGCCCTCACTGCCCTCCGCATCTTCAACCTATCCATGCACAACTACCAGTCCGCCCTCTCCTGCCCTCCCTCACTCAAATCTCTCCAAATCTGCTTCTCCCACCTTCCTCTCCTCCCCGACTCCCTCCGCCTCTTCTCCTCCCTCACTCGCCTCGACCTCTTCCAGTGTTCCAAGCCCCTCGCCCTGCCCGCCTGCCTCTCTGCCTTCTCCTCGCTCGCCCACGCGTCCTTTGGCCGCGACTACGACCCTGTGCTGCCCTGCCGCCTCCAGGAGTACCTCCGGGGGAAAACCTGGGAGCGGGAGGAAGCAGGGGAAGGGGGAGCGGAAGGGGAAGGGGGGTGGGAAGGGAAGGGAGAAGGAGAGGGAGAGGGGGAGGAGGAGGGAGAGGGGGAGGAGGAGGGGGAGGAGGAGGAAGGGGTGGGGGAGGTGGAGGTGAGAGGCTCGCCAAATAATGCGAGTGCCACGAATCCTGATTCGCACAACCAATCGCAGTTACCAGCAGAGGCAGTACCAGCAGAGGCAGTACCAGCAGAGGCAGTACCAGCAGAGGTGCTGGAATGTGTGTTCCAGCGGCTTCAGCTGTGTGGGGACGAGGCGAGAGTGAGAGGAGTGTGCCGCGAGTGGCGCCAGTGGTGCCGCCTGCACACCTCCTTCTTCGCCCTCGCCTTCCACCCCCTCCTGCTCTCCTGCCTCCCCCTCGCCCTGCTCCACTCCCCTCCCACTCCGAGCCCAGACTCCAGAGGCTGCAGCAGGAGAAGCGGCCATGAGATGGCAGCTCAGGCCAGCTCCCTTTCGTGCCTCTCATGGCACCCCGCCTTCTCTCCCTTCTGCGTCCTCCTCTCCTCCCCCACCTCCCACACCTTCTCCCTGCTCCCCTCCTGCCCGCCTCCCCTCACCCTCCCCCATGCCATCACCCCCTCCTCCCTCGCCTCCTGCTTCACCCGCCACTATGAAACCGAATGGACCTCAGCATTCCCCCCCATCTGGTTAGCCTCTCTCCCCTCCTCCTCCTCCCTCGCCCACACCCTCACGCTCTACCCCAACCTCTCTGCGCTCCTCCTCCCCATAGTCTCCACCGCCACTCACCCCCTCCACCCCTCCCATGTGCGCTCCCTCCTCTCTGCTGCCGCCGCCCTGCCCGCCCTCACCTCCTTCTCCGTGCTGCTCGAGCCGGGCTTCAGGGGAGAAGGCGACTGGGGGTACGGGCGGGACGAGCTGTGGGAGATTCCTGAGGAGGAGAGGAAGCGGGAGGTGCGGCAATGGTGGGGGGAGACGAGCAGGGAGGTGGAGAGCGGGCTGGTGGCGGTGCTGACGGGGTGCCACGGTCTCAAAGAGCTGCGCATTCAGGGGGAGAACGCCGCCCACCGCCTCAAACTTCCTCCGTCTCTCTTCCTCCTCTGCACGCATCTCTCCACTCTCTCCCTCCCTCTCTCTCGCCTCCCCACCTCCCTCCTCCTCCTCACTCGCCTCACCTCCCTCTCCCTCGCCCTCCCTGTGGGTTTCATGCCTCCCCAGTTCGCCCACTCCTCGCCCTTGGCCCGCCTGTCCTCCCTGCGCTCCCTCTCACTCCATGTCTGTGAGCATGACATCAGCTGCAGCGGCGTGTCTGAGGATGACAGCAGCTGGAGTGGGCTCTCTCAGGACCTGCTGCTGGGCCTGCCGCCATGCCTCTCCTCCCTCTCCCTGCACCTCCCCACCGCCACCATGCCCGCCTCCTTCTCCTCCCTCACTGCCCTTACGCTCCTCGCCACCAACCTCTGGATTCCGGGGCTGGAGGGAAAGGAGGAAGAGGGAGACGGAGGGGTGGGAGAGGAGGAGTGGGAGGGGGAGAGATGGGAGGACGAGGCAGAGGAGGAGAGTGGTATGGGCGAGGGAGATGAGGATGGTTGGTGTGATGACCATGATCATGCTGATCGCTGCCCCAATCAACTTCACAACTCAGCCGGTGCTTCAAGCATTCACGACAACACACTGCTGCCTCTCTGCAACCTCACTTCCCTTACTCTCTCCGGCTGCCGCTTTTTCCCGCCGCTCATTCGACACCTCACTCGCCTCACATCCCTCTCCCTCGGATCTATCAACGCCTATGATGAAACCTCCTGCACCCGTTTCTGCTCGCTCCACCACGGTCTCTCTCTCCTCACTCGCCTGCGCGACCTCTCCCTCTGCTGCGACAACTTCTCCCGAGAGCGCCTCCCCCACTTGCCCCGCCTCCGCCGCCTCCACGTGCAGAACTACTGGCGCAACAGTAAGACCGTCGACATGACCCGGCTGATGGCTGCTGTGGCGCACTCCTTGGAGCAGCTGCACATTGTGTTTGACTCGGGCACGTGCGCCCGTCTGTGCAGGAGAGGAAGCACCATAGAGTTGAGCTTCCGGAAGCTCAAGCTGCTGCACCTGGAGGACTCAACGGACGATGCTTGGGTGGACATGTGTCTCTTCCCTGTCCTAGAACACATGGCACTGCCATACAAGGCCAGTGTGTTCTGGGAGATGGAGAGTGGTTTCTCATCTAACCTGCGCTTCCTGCGACTAGGTGCTGTTAGACTGCCTAAAGAGCTCGGTCACCAAGAGCATGAGCTGATGCAGCTCACGGCGCTCACCACTCTCATTGTGGACGAAGCTGACTTCCGGGATTTCCTTGCAGCACTCTCCTGCTTCTCCTCCCTGCGCACTCTCCGCCTCTCCAACATCACCAGAGGCTGCTCTGAACCCTACTTCACCTGCCCGCCTCTCCTCTCCACACTTCAGATTTGCTTCTCTGACCTGCCCCGCCTCCCCCCCTCACTCGCTCACTTCTCCCGCCTCACCCGCCTCGACCTGCTGCACTGGCGCCGCCTGCACTCTCTCCCGCCCTTCCTCTCGTCCTTCTCGTCGCTGCGCCACTTGAGAGTCACGAGCGATGGGCCCAAGCCCACACACCCTGCTTGCTTGAGAGGTTTTCTTCAAGGCAGGGACTGGTACGAGCATTCGCCATGCGACGGCATGAATTGGTATCGGGTCGAGCATTTATTACATGTCTCCCCCATAGGGGTGCGCATCGAGTAAATTTCATAAGCGCGTGCACTTCATGGCAAATGCAAATTTATATTTCTTCATTTCAATTGTTGGGCTGAGTGCCCCTTAGGATCTTTGGTAGGATTAATCTCTGGGTAGAGAGATGTAGTAGCGGAAGCATTAATTAAGAAATTCTGAACCACCTTGCGCTAGTATGTGAGGGCAAAGTTGCTGGGCTGAGACGCCCTAGGATCTTTGTAGAGTTAAAGTGATGAGTAAAGTGATGTAATAGCGGAAGCGTTTGAATAAAGTCCTTGAACCACCTTGCGCTAGTATGTGAGGGCAAAGTAAGTTGATTAAAGCAAAGAGATACAGGAATATATATATGAGTACAGAGAATATGAAGAGATATAATTGTAACTGTTTTACTGTTGCGGTTCGATACAGTGCGACTCGGGCAACAGCTCAATGTCGAGTCAGTTGTGTGTCCTTGCTGTCGCGCTGCGTCAGGTCAAAGGTCGCTGACCTTTGACTTTCTCGTAACCTCCAGCGGTTACGTTAACCTCCGAGGGTTGACTCGCGGTGCTTCGATTTTAGCTGCTTCGCTTGTGTCTTGAGTTTCGACATGACAGAGGCGCTTTAAGACTATTTGTTCCCAACACCCCCCTTCGCTTCTGGAGTGTCGCTGATGGTGACGTGGCTTTGTCCAGTCAGCAGCATGCAGTACTCGAACTTCTGCTTTCCGAGCTTCTTGGTCAAGTAGTCAGCTGCCATCTCAGACGTGGGACAGTAGGATAGTTGGAGTTTCCCTTTCTCGATCTCGTCTTTCACGAAGAAATATCGCAGAGCGATATGCTTCGTTCTGTTCGCGAATCCGCTCTTGTTGGCGATGCGAATCGCAGATTGGTTGTCGCAGAACAGAGTGAAGTTGGGTAACTCGGCTAACTTCGCTTCTTCCAGCAGCTCGCGAAGATAGAGTCCTTCCTTGGTGGCTGAGCAGAGTGCGATATGTTCTGCTTCAGCTGAGGAGAGAGCGATTAGTTCCTGCTTGCTCGATTGCCAGGAGATAGGTCCGATAGGTTCGAGGCGATAGATGTAGCCAGTGCGGGAGCGTCTGTTGTCTGAATCGCCGGCGTGATCGGCATCGACGTAGCCGATTATTTTCGTCGGTGTAGTTTTACTCTTGTAGTATGTCAAGCCGATCGTCGAGGTGCTCACGAAGTAGTGGAGAGCGCGGTCGAGTTCCGCCACGTGTTCTGTTTCGGGCCTTTTGAGATAGGTAGCAAGTTGACTTGCGGAGTAGGACAGATCTGGGCGGCAGGCGACGGCTGCGAAGAGAAGGCAGCCCAGCTTCCTCTGGTAGTCGCATATTCCGGCGGTTTTGAGTGGGGCGGGACCTCCTTTGTCGTTCCCTGCCGTGTAGCGGTATGGCGTGGAGATAGTAGTAGGTGTGAGCGCGAAGCGTTTGGCGATAGTGTCGGCGTACTTTTCAGCGTTGAGGTAGATCGCGTTCTCTTCTTCGCGGATGTTGAGTCCGAGGTACTGAGTGACAGTAGAGGAGACCATGAGTGTGAGGTCCCTTTGTAGCTCCCCTTCGAACCAGGTGGTGATGTCGTCAGTGGAGCCAATCTAGAGTAGGTCGTCGACGTAGACGATCAGCAGGATATAGTCGGCGTTTTTGGTGAGTCGATACATCCCTTGGTCGTGGGGAAGTTGGCGGAATCCGATGCGAGTGAGGCGAGTGTGTAGGTGCTGTTGCCACATCTGCGGGGCTTGTTTGATTCCGTAGAGCGATTTCAGTAGCTGGAAAACTTGGTTAGGTTCCCCGTGGGTACCGTGTGGGAGCTCGACGAAGATTTCGGCGTCGACGGGTGTGTAGAGGAACGCGTTGGCGACATCGATTTGTCGCAGTTTCTTCTTCTTCATAGCGGCGATCGCAAGAAGAATTAGGAGTGAGGTATGTCGGCTGACCGGGGCGAATGTCTCGGTGAAGTCCCGTCTGTGTTCCTGGTCGAATCCACGCACGACCCAGCGTGCTTTGAATTTCTCGATTGTGCCGTCTGCCTTTGTTTTAATGCGGAAGACCCATTTCCCGGTGAGGATGGTCTTGTTCCTTGCCACGCTTACGGGAACGACTTTCCAGGTGTTGCGTTCCTCCAGCGCCTTTAACTCTCTGTCCATGGCTTCACGCCATTTCTCCCTGTGTTTCCCCCCCAGAGCCTGCTGAACTGTCGCAGGCTCTTTACGAAGAGCATTGCCGTGGACTGCGATGACTAGGCCGAGAATCTGCAGTCCAGTCTGTGAGTAGCGGGGGAGAGTTGTGTCCTCGGGATAAGCTGCTTCATCTCCCGCTTCTGGGTCGGGTATGAAATTCGGCCCTATCCGTTCCGCTTCGTTGGTGTTGACTGTCGCAGGTGTTACGTAACCATTGTCGGTGAAGTGGTAGAAGACAGAAAGCGTTGGCGCTTTCGCGAGGATTTTCTTCGTCCATGGGGACGTTGACGGAGCAGAACGGGAGAGGTCCGGCTTCTTCTGATGCGTTGTCGACGTTCTGCTCGTCCCAGTCTGCTTCGTCCGCTGCTGAGGCGAAGGCTCGATCACCACGAAAGCCACCTGTGGGGTCCTGATTTTCGTGCAAGTTGGCGAGGTACGTCTGAAGCGTGAGTCGTTCGTAGAAGATCACGTCACGTGCTGCTACTGTTTCCTTGGAGTGGACGTCGAAGATTTTCCACGCGTTGTAATTCTTTTCAATGCCGAGGTGTAGTCCCCATTTTGCGCGTTGTGAAAATCTTCCCGCTCGTGCTTCTGGGGGTCGGTACTGTACCATGCACCCGAAAACTCGTAACATTTTGGTGCTGCCCTGTTTCCCTGTCCACAGCAGATGCGGTGATGCGTTGTTCGGAAGTGAGGACGACGATATCAAGTTGTGCAGCATGACAGCATGGTCCATTGCTGCAGGCCACTGGTGGTTGGGTAGCCGCATGCCACGTAGCAGTTTGCGCAGGCTGTTTTGCAGAGTCCTGTTCATTCTTTTTGCGACACCTTGCTACTGATGAGCGTAGGGAAGGGAGAGAAGTTGCTTGATTCCTCTTTCCCTCAGGTACTGCTTGAATCGCTGAGAGGTGTATTCTCCTCCTCCGTCTGACTGGAAGCTTTTCAGCTGTGCTCCCGACTCTCTCTCTGCTACTGGTAGCCAGGCGGCGAACGCTGCGAGTGCCATGTCGCGGCTGGGTAGGTTTAGGTGCCAGACGTATCGAGTAGCGGCGTCGATGAAGGTTATCGTGTAGTTGTAAGTAACTTGTCCTGGTTCTCGATTGAAGAGAATATCGCTGTACACCTTCTCGAGTGGTGCGTACGCGGGTGTGCTCGGGTTGTGGTGAGAAGTAAACGGTCGATGTGGTAAGTCGGCTTCGGGGCAGGTGAGGCAAGTTCCTCGTGCCCGTTGAAGTTCTCTGCCGTCAGGTAGTAGTAATGAATCCTTGTCTAGGACTCCTGCTCTTATTGTATTATTTAACATGGTGTTGCTTGGATGTCCCATGCTTGCGTGCCAGATGTCTTCGGAGGCGCGGTGTCCGGGTGAGCGTTTATACGCATCGGAGTTGGAGTAGAAGCTGGCGACGAAGTTTGCGCTTCTGTGGACTTCTCGTTGAGTTGGGTTCAGCTGCTGTGCGAGTGTTGGTGGTGCTTCGTTAACGAGAACTGGTGTCACTGACGATGGTTCTGCTAATGCCGATGATGTTTCTGCTGCTTCTGCTGCTGCCGATGTTGTTTCTGCTGCTTCTGCTGCTGCCGGATGTTGAATCGTTGCTAATGCGCGTGTTCGTTCTGCTTCAGGGATGGTATGCGAGTACCAGAAGCCTTCCGGGCTGAAGTCTGGGTCAAGATCTGGAGGGTGCGTCCAGTCGGCGAAGTTCACGATGGCGTCGCTGTCTGCGGTGCCCAGGTCTGGGACGAAGTCAAGGACGAAGACGTTGTTCTTTAGGACCGCCTTTCCGATGTAGAGGCCGCCCTTCCCGTGGTATAATTTGAACTCTTGGGTGGTACTGTCGGCTTCCAAGTGAATGCCTTTCGCCATCAACTGGCTGACGCTCAGTAAGTTGTAGCCGAGTCCCTCCGCGATTAGTACTTTTGACATATGCAGTATAACATTTGTCTCTCGTGACTGAAGTTGTACTACTCCTTGTCGTCGTGTGCGCAGATTCTGGTTGTTGGCGGGTGTGATGACGACCTCTCGTTGAAGTCGGTGTTCGCGTTGAACGAAACGTCCTGAGGAGCACATGTGTTGTCCGCAGCAACTGTCCAAGAACCAAGTGTCTTTTCCGGACGGTTCGCTTTGAGCGATGGCAGCGTACGTCGGGTTCGGTTGAAGTGACTCGCGGCGAGGCGTGCTGTTGTCGAGTTGTTCTTCTGGTGAGTAGTATGGTGGTGACTCGGTTGTGCAGGAATCTGTTATTTTCACCATACAAATGACGATGTTTCTTGCTCCTTATACAGGTTGTCCTGTTGGAGTCGTTGAAGCTTGGACTGAAGTTGTCGGGTTTGCTTGCGTTGAAGTGACTTGGGAGCTTGAAGGTCGAAGTTGTCGCTGTGGTGTTGTCGATTGCTGGCGATACGGGCAGTGCGTACGAGGATGCCCTGAAGTCTTGCAGATGTGGCAGAACGGAGCTATTGGCTTCACTTGTTGTTGCCGGTTGTTGTTGTTGTTGTAGCGTTGCTGAGTGTGAAATGCGAACTCTGGTACTGACGTTTTCTTCTTGTGTCGTTCTTCTTACAGGTCCATGTTCTTGCTGCTCGACATGGATTTCGGCGCAGAGTGCTTCTTCGGAGATTCTCCCGTGTGCTCGTAGTATGGCGCGATTGGAGCGCCAGTGAGGGCCAAGACCACCGATGACGACCATGACGAAGGCGTCTTCTGAGATCGATCCTCCACATCGAAGAAGATTGTCGCGCAGTTCGCGGCAGCGAGTGATATATGCCATGCCCTTCTCGCCTGGTTTCATTTCGATTGTTGTCAGCTGCGCCATTAACCGGCTTTGGTTTACACTGTCTGT